TTCGATTCGGATGTGCCTTGATGCCTTCCTGCCTTGGAATGCTGCCTCCGAAGGCAGCATTTTAGAGTTTTCGGACGCAGCCATTGTGCTGTGTCCTTGTTGGGAAATGTGTCATTTCAAGCCCAGTCTAAAGGAGTTGGTATTTTTTATATTTTAAAGTGTACATTGCTGATGTTTTTTGCACAGATGTTACATGTATGTATGGCCTGTTTGGATTGATGCTAAGAGTTTAAGACAGTGTATTTGTATGCATTTTAGAAGGACTCTTTATTGGTGAAGTTACCACATAATGGTCCAGTTTGAATATGGATTTAAAGTTCTTTTCGACGTGAGACCATAGTCTGGACTTTTTGACTGTTCCTGGTTAGGAAGAGTCTGGTGTTTGAGAGTTGTGGCGTGTTTACATTGCAAGAGGTAGGATTATTCATTTGCTATCAGCCAACTTCTGCTGTGGGCAGTGTTTGGACATTGACGTACTACAGATAAGACTTTCGCACACATCAACTTTCACACACTTTCACATGATGAAATCCTACAAACTTACATTGCTTTGTTTGCTTTCTTTTGTTTTTTTTGTACTTTTGTGTATTTACATTTTTGGATATATGTAGTTGTATTAACCTGAAATTAATGTTTTCTATTTTGTATTTAATAAATCCATTGATTTGAAATCCCTTTGAATACTGTACATTTTTGACAATATAGACATTAGTTATGTGGTGCATGCATCCATTTCAGTTTACATTGCAAGAGGTAGGATTATTCATTTGCTATCAGCCAACTTCTGCTGTGGGCAGTGTTTGGACATTGACGTACTACAGATAAGACTTTCGCACACATCAACTTTCACACACTTTCACATGATGAAATCCTACAAACTTACATTGCTTTGTTTGCTTTCTTTTGTTTTTTTTGTACTTTTGTGTATTTACATTTTTGGATATATGTAGTTGTATTAACCTGAAATTAATGTTTTCTATTTTGTATTTAATAAATCCATTGATTTGAAATCCCTTTGAATACTGTACATTTTTGACAATATAGACATTAGTTATGTGGTGACTGCATCCATTTCAAATGTATTATAACTGTTTTCCCCAAAGACTTAATTTATAGTAGCTGAAAAGTATTTAAAGTGAAACAGATGTATTGTTGTAGATTAATAGTGCGGGCCCTCTGTGGGCCTAGTGAGGGCTTCCTGGGAGCTAAGTGAGGGCTGCCCGTGCAGGGCAGTGCTAAGGGACCAACGTTTTGCCAATGAGCAAAGTCTCAGAGGCCCTGCGCTGGCAGCCCGCTGGGGGCCCTTAGGCTAGCCCTAAGTGGGCTCGTAAAGGGCTAGTTCAGGCTTGTTTGCAGGGTTCTTGTTTGTTGAACTGTTCTATAAAACCAATATAACATTTGTAATGGTGCTGATGTTCAGGGAAACAAGCAATCTTGCTTGTGTGATTGTATCACATGTTGTAAATATAAAAAACAGAAACTCATTACTGGTGCATTTTTGCCCCCTGAAATGGTTCACCCAAAAATGAAAATTCTGTCATTAATTACTCACCCTCATGTCATTCCAAACCCGTAAGTCCTCTGATCATCTTCGGAACATAAGATATTTTTGATGAAATCCAAGTGCTTTCTAACCCTGCATAGACAGAACTACCACAGTCAAGGCACAGAAATGTAGTAAGGACATTGTTAAAATAGTCCATGTGACATCAGTGGTTCAACCATAATTTTATGAAGCTACAAGCATACATTTTGTGTGCAAAGAAAACAAAAATAATAACTTTATTCAACAATTCTTCTCTTCCCTGTCACTGTCCGCCGCCATTCATGGGAATACCACAACGCATGCGTGTTCTACGCCAGCAGCACTACACGCATGCATCATGGTGTTAATGGCGGCGAATTCCTTTTAGTCCTGTTACTATCTGTAATTAATCACCATAGGTTTTAAATGCATAATCCTGCTCATGGAGGACTATCTTCATGCACTTCAACACTCCTGTCTGGAAGTTGCTACAGATCCTGAAGACAGACCTGATATATGATAGTTGAATGGATTGCCATTTAAGTATAAATATGAACTGAATGACAATCTTGCTTTGCCTTTATTTTATGTAGCTTTTTGCTGTTTTTGCATCCAGTTACTTCTGGTCAGCGAGTGAAATTTGGCAACTGACGCTTTCAGTGTGAGAGCCACCTTTGCAATTTAGTTACTCTAGGCTACTACAGTAAACATTTAAATTGCACTTTTTAAATCTTTAAAGCTTTTTTTTCTTTTTTTAATATGTAAATTATTCATGGCTTAAGTAAATAAGTTCACCATTATAGTTCTGACTAACAAGCTACTGTTTAAAAGACATTAAATGGCTTTCTGAAGTTAATGTAGCATGTTGTTTACAAGCTGTTTTACTGACTTTTAGTTGTTACAAATCAGAGTTGGCAAGTATATAAGAGCTAACACACTGCAGCGAGTTATTTTAAGCAGAAGACATGTGCAAAATTTACTTGCGCCAGTGCTGCCACTTGAACTAAATATAGGCAGATACAAATACAGATAAAGAGTGCCAAAAAATTATTTGAATTTCATGGTAAAATTAACAGAATTTATTTGACAGACTTTATTCCTAATTAAAAGTAACAAATCACAAGGTTCAGTGGCGACAAAGGCCCATTGGAAATATGTACCTCTAGTCTAAATACATTTCTGCAAAACTGAAAAAATGTACGTTTCCAGTTTTTTTTTTCACGTTCCCAACAAAACTTTTATTCCTTTTCACACAAAGTATGATTTGCAGGTCCACAGTTTCTATTAATAAAGCCTAATTTTTGCACAGTTACTTGAGGAATATCATGTTATGAATTCAGAACAATTTTAACATGCTGACATTTGAAAACTGATACTTTTGATCATTAGTGTCACATATCCAGCTTCCTATGTATGGGTTTTTATATTCAGTAGGTTTGTTCGGTAGCTCACGCAGTATGGCGTTCAACTTGAAAGGTGAAGAGCTCGGGTACAAATTCATCTGGATCTACGGTTCCACTAAACAGTTCAAACCTGCATATAAGGAGGTTCAAATGGCACGGTTTTTATACCAGTTTTGCATTTATTAACACTATCGGGTATGTTTAAGGTTGGGTTTAGGGTAGGGGATATTTCCAACACATTAGTGCATTAACTTTTAGCGACACTCCCCGGATATTTGAATTGCGAATCACCGCAATACGTACCTGAAGCAACATAATAAATACACAGCAATACGTGCCTTTATCAACGTAACAAAAATGTGCCAGGGTCACATATTAAACCCGCATTTCAGCACCACTCAACCAGCTGCCTGGGTTGCTCATTGAGATTATTGGGTGGTAAGGCGCACTACAAATGTTTAGTAAAGATTTATTAAGCCTCAAAGCTCACATATTCTCAGCTGAATGTGAGGGGGTTTTGCCTTTGTATCTTAATAAAAACCTTAATTAATCAGACTCTTGTGCTGGGCAATCAATCAATCAATCAATCAATAAAAATGTGTTTAAAAACATACATAAATTATTTACAGGGTAAGTAACTACTATCTCTATAGTTCTTTTTTCTAGCTAACAAGCTATTGTATAATGGACATTAAATGGTGGGAAGAGTGGCCAATTAAATGAGAGCTAACTGCAGAAAGTTATTTTAAGCAGAAGATATGCTCAAATTTGCTTGCGTCAGTGCTGCTACTTGAACTATATATATAGGCAGATAAATTAGCTGCACCTTAAGCACTGTGGTTGAGAAAACCATATGACTATAATAATATACAATTATGAGGAGTTTCACTGCAGCATTATTCAAATATAAATGTCTGTGTATGGCACATGTTACAGTATTGAACCAAATAAACCGTGTGAACAATTTGATTTCATTAAGGTAAGTCATTTGATTTTTATAATTTGCTATGAAACACATAAAATATTTTTAAAACCCATTCATAATGCATGATTTTTTTTAAACTTTTAACTGTGGTTGGCATGTTAAATGCTTTGGTCTTTGCACAGATCATAGCTATATACATACGTTTCTAATCAGACACCATGATCACAGTACATCATCAGCATCTGATCAAGAGAAATAAGTATACAACAGCATGTACATATTAACCTGTCTCACAGGAGTGATGCGATCACATATGCACAGGTTCTAATTACAGGTGTAAATGGCAGCATATTGTGATCAGTCAAACAACATTCGAAGGTGGCATGTGACCATGATGTTTTATGTGAACCAACAAGTCTTCTCTAGCTTTCAAGGCTACTTTGATTGTATCTTTGTAAATTTGTTGAAATAATTCATATTTTTGCATCTTGATCCTCGAGTTTCCTCAACATGCCTTGTGCTGTGATACTGGGTTTTTATGTTAGAATTTGTTGTTGTTTTTGCAATAATGCAAATGCCACTTAAGTTAGACACCAAAATACAATTTCAAAATACTATTTTCAAATGTAGTCAGATGTTTTCGTTTTTTTAATTGTGTGAGATATAAAATATTGGGTCAAATGTAAAATACTAATTAACAGCAACAAACCATTCTATAAAAAGAATACTAAGAAAATGCAATTTTTACAAAAGTAGGTTGAAACTGTGTTAACCAAGGGAGGAAGGAGGAGAACTGATATTTGGATATTGCTATTATTTTTTTGTTTCAATAGAACGTGCAAGCACAATATTTGGAGAATGTACACAGTTATTTTTAGTACAACAACAGTTTATAGTAACCACGGCAGTTAAGTCACTTTTTAACCTCTCATGTAATCTCTGTATAGGACTGTGAGCACTCAGAATGGGACACGTCCACTGCTCTCTGTCCAGACCAGTCGAGGGCTGGTAGATGAGAAGTTTCAGATTGTTGTGACAAATTTACCACTAAAACAAGAGGTGACGCTACACTCTCTACATCAGTCAGAAGACAATGACTTCTGGGAGGCATTTGGACAGTACATCAGTGATGAACACGGGACAGTGACAGGTGCATAGTACAGTCTGATGCATGACCTCTACAAAAATTACAACCTGATACATTGTTGTGAAGGAAAACCAAGCTTCTGCTCATTCTGGATCATCTCTAGAGGTTAAGTTGCACTTTAGTGTTGTAGGCAGTGGTCATCTGATGGGTTGGCAGAGATTACAAGGTGCTCAATCTTCAAAAGGTTGAGCTGGATATTACTCTCCATCATCTAAGCCAAGATGTCAGAAGCAAAAAAAAAGGCTACAGTCATGATTTGGGTCATTGCTTTAACTACATCATCTAGGTTCTTAAGAGCTTCGCCAAGCTGGTCTTTCAGCCCTAACCAGGCTGACCACCAACCAACTGATTGGACCATCTAATGTCCATAGCTTACATACAATAAATGACCTTAAGTTAGTAACTATGTAAAACCTTTTCATAGGTTCACCTGATGCTACGTCAGTAGCTGACATTACCCAGGTGTGACAGTTTTCTGAAGAATGTATAGAAACCATAGGCGGAGTTTACGGGGGGCTGGAGGGGGCACCCCCCAGACGAGTGTCAATCATGATTTTGTCTGAGCTATGAACAAAATATAAAAATGAAATAATTTATATTTTCTCATTTGATTTGTATTATCTTGTTATTTTAGTGGATAGAATAAGTACGTTTTGGGCTAAATTAATTTCTATGATATTTAAGCCCCATCCTCGCGAGCGGCGACTCATCATGATTCTTAACTTGTCGCGATAGGCCACATAAGAAGACTGAATAATGGAAATTCATTGTATTTTTTGTATAAACCCGCGAATAAAAATGTGGTGGACTGAGTCACTGCTGGCTGAATTGGACAGGCGATTTTCACATGAAGCGTTGGCCTCGAGTGTGGCATGTGACGCAGTATTCAGTTGTGAGAAAAACGGCATCAGTCCTCTACTAAGCATGTACGCAAGCCTTAAGATTCACCCTCAGCTTGTGACAGCTGAAAAGGATCTTGTAAAATGTGCATACACATCGCCGATCACTCTTGAGAAACTTAAAGATGAAGTAGGCTACAGAAGGACAAATATCCAAACTTTTTCAGACTACTGCAGCTTGCACTCACGCTGCCCATTGGTTCGGCTTAGAGCCCTGCACGGGCCTCAAAAGCCCGGCCCGTGTCCGACAGCTTTTCAGAAATACCGGCCCGAGCCCGTCTTTTTTCCCCTTCTCCCAAAACAGCTTATACTACTGTTTCAGCTATTAAAATGGTTCAGTTTTGGTTATGTAATGGCAAAGTGATTATATTTAATTTAGTTTTTGTTTTTTAAAGTAACAACCAAGCAGCCAGCGGCAGACAGTGAGCCTATGTTTGATTAGTCTCGCGTAGCCAGACCTTCAGACTAATGGCTGAAGGTCTGGAATCCATGGCAGCTTTCATTAGCCAAGGCCAGCCCATGAGGCCGTTTGACTGACATGTCAAACAACCAATCACAGTTTGTTTCTTTTCAGCATCACGTTTCAAGAGAGTGCAAGCTAAAGCGCGCTTTGCAGGACATGAAGGCGCCAGCGCGATCGCTTGCATTTTTTTCAGTGGATACGCTGTCATTTTTGCTCATAAAGGTAAGAGTAATACATCATTTGTAACTGTAAAGGGTCTACTTTTATTTGTGTGCACTCACAATATCAACAAAACGTTGTGCTTTTATAAAATAAAG